GGGGAGCCATGGTCGTGGGGAGGCATGGTCAGGGGAGCCATGCTGGAGAGCCGAGGGGAAGCCTGGAGTCTCTGGGGTCTCCCTGTGCTGCTACGGGATGTGACCTACAGTCTGTTGTCCTAGAAAACCCTCAGCCAATAAGAGCTTCACATGAAAATCTCCCTACTGTCCCTCCCCCCTAAAAAATCACCTCTCTTAAGCCTGTTTCTGCCTCGAGTCGAGTCACTGTGTCTTTGAGTCTTTGCTGAACTCGGAAGAGCCCCCTCTTCCCCCTGCTTATTGGCTGCTTTGCTACAGCATGTCACTGGGTTCTTGGTCCTGAAACCACCAAGGCTCAGGCACATCCTCTAAGCAACCCCTCATACTAAGGACTCAGGAAAAATGAGGTTTTAACGTAGTGCTGTTTGTAATGGTAGTGCACTTGCCACTGGTGTTGACAGTGTTCTTGTTACTGTTTATTACTCCGACCACAACTTCTACTGGGTTCATTTTACCACCTCCAGTCCTGCAGCAGATGATGGTTAAGTTAGAGAAGAAAGCAGCTTCCACAGAGAGACCTGGGCAGGGACCCTGAACATAGATTATTGGGGACACCAGCAAATTCCCTTTGTGTCCTTTCAGGGAGAAATGGCTGTGTTATCCAGAAACACCTGTAAAAGTCTTAGCTAATATCTGTGCATCAGGCCTTCGCCCACAGCCCGGACGGCACCCCTCAGCATAGGCAGGGGGAAGCCTTATCTTTTGTTTCCAAGAGGCCGCTGGGAGCACACGATCTGATCTCCTTAAGAAACAGGCGTCCACTTGAGCACCAACCATTATGATTGCATCTCAAACCCATCATCTGTGAAAAGAGAGCTCGAATCAGAAGGTCTGAGCAAAATATTGAAAGTGAGATTAGGAAGAACAGTGTCTGGTGGAAGGGTCAGGGGCATGAAAGCAGAACAGACCTGATAAATGCAGTGAAAATGGAAAGTAATTGATAAAGACGATGCACAATTTTAAGACATAAGGAAAAGAAGACAAGAAAAGCCATAAGTACCCAGATGAAGAAAGCCACACAGAGTAGCATCAGAGTTTTCTGTGAACTCAAAGGGAATGTTAATTAAGAGGCTGCAGGTCAACTCAGGTGAAGCAGGATAATCCCAAGCCAGCTATACGTGCAGGGAGAGACGGATCCACGCTACGTTCGCGTGTGTACGTGGGTGTGTGCAGCTATCTCTGGATCTAAAGAGAGGTGGGAGAATAATTCTGGTGTTCTGATTTCTCTTGCTGAAAGGAATTGAAATGTTGCTGTTAAAGTCATCTCCATGTCACTTTAGCTCAGCAGTGCCAGGAAGAACCCCCCCCCCCAAGAAAATGAAGACTGGTTTTCAATTTCCAGGCCAAAGGAAAGTGGTTGACGTTTTAGATAACCATCAAGTGACTTCCCAGCTGTATTTAGTTTTGCATAAAGTGAAGGAGGGAGTGCATGTCCATGTTGATGTCTAACCATGCACAGGTCAAAGTGTGGCTTCCTACTGAAGAATGGGACCTTCACCAATATTCATTCCAGAACTTACATAGCCCAGGGAGTCAGAATGGTGGACATCTTGAAAGCAACAAAATTATTGAAAACTCTTTCAAAATGTTTGTTTTTATACTCACCATAGATAATATCAAATCATAAACAAACAAAAAAAGACCTTTTTTTTTTCTTTTTTTTTTTGGTACTGGGGACTGAACTCAGGGACACCCAAGCAGAGCCACATCCCCAGCCCTATTTTGTATTTTATTTAGAGACAGGGTCTCACTGAGTGGCTTAGCATCTTGCCATTGCTGAGGCTGGCTTTGAACTCTCAATCCTCTTGTCTCAGCCTCCCGAGTCACTAGGATTACAGGCTTTTACCACCACACCATCAAGAAAAGTGTTTTTTAATCAGATATATTTATTAGAACTTTCCCTACACTGGGCAGTGTTCTAGGCACCAGGAATACAGACAGAAGGAAAACATCTAAGAAGAAACTAAGAAGGTACATTGACCCCCAAAGTAGCATGACCCAGTATGTTCAGCCATCTGATTTGTTGGACTTGGTTGTTTGCAAAAATCAAATCCACCCTCAAAAAAACCAAAGTATGACACTACTTAGGGTGGTCATGATTAGTTGCCATCTTTAATAATGAACAATTCTTAAATAGAAATTCCATATAGTTTCCCAGACATCCACCTTGCAGCAGAGGACTTTCTTGATTGGCGTTTGTGGATACACGTGAACCATTCACCTTTTTTCTATTTCCACAGAGCATTATGTACCCAGATGCACGTGCCTCACGTATCAGGTCTTAAATCTCAGCCCTTTCTGTTAGGGAACTCGTGGGTTTCCCAGCACTGACAGCTGGTAGGTCACTCACTGATCTGCTGCCCCTTTCTCCCCTTTTCCAGAATCCTAGGGAATCGTGTGGCTGAGCTGGAGAAAAAACTAAGAACTCTGGAAGTTTCTGGTTTGTGGAGTCTTCCAGGTAAGCGAGGCTTCATGGAAACGGTCTCTGCGGGTTTGTTTGGTTTTTATGTTTTATTTTGTTCTGTTTTAAAGGAAACTCTCATGTAATTTGCAGAGGATTAAGTTACATGTAAATGACAGAGGATTCTGTCTTTGCAACGACCTTTTATTTGGAGAGCATAGTTGAAAAGTCTACTGGTGTTTAAATGTAGAAACCATCAAGGGAGGGGACAGAATCAGAAAAACACGAAAAATATTCAAGTCTCCTCTGTGGGGCACTGAAGTTTCGCTAACCTGAATTCTGAAACTGTCGTTGTGTATGTCTGTGCACGCGCGCATGCACACACACACACACACACACTCTTAATCTTTGTGAATATAGTGAATTGTTTCTTTTTTTTCTGTATCATATAAAGATTTGTTCAATGAAATCATCACTCCTAAAATGAATGTAGACTCTACAAAGATTTGTGCAATTTAATCAGGAGCCCTAAAATCGAATGTAAGATTGTACAAAGATTTGTGCAATTTAATCACCAATTTAATTTGTGCTAAAAGTGAAGGGCCAACAAATCTTTCTAACCCCAACGTCATTCCCCACCATCGTCTCCTGCTTCCCCATCACATTTCCACACGGCTGGAAAACAAGTTTCCCGAGATTTTCTTCCCCACAGTTGTACAATGCGAGAGGAAATTCTGACTTCTCCCTTTAATTAGCTATATTTATCCCATTTATCTTGATAAAATACCCCTTTCAGGAGACCCCCCCCCTCCGCGGTCCCCCTTGTCTTGATACTCTTTAGAAACTTATATTTATCCTTTCCCACCACCTCCTCTGTCCCTGGAAGGAGCATTGTGTGGGTATTTTTAGTTACTTACCCTTTCTGTTCAAACCGGTCTCTTCTCCCCTTGACTCATTTGGGCTACTTCCCTGTAACGTATGACAAATGGAAATTGCCACAGGGAGGTGGACAACATCGAGTTTTCTTAAATGTGAATCTGAACAGCTGCCTCCGGTTGCCTGGAAGTGCATCTCATAAATTGGAAATTCTAGCAGAGGTTCCTTGAACTTGGTGTCATAAGACCTAACAGAACTAATTAGTGGCAAGTGCGTCCTGGGGATCGAATGCCCCATCTTGCACACAGCCCCTTTGATGCTGTTAGACCTCATCTTCCAAGCCAGACCTCTCTTCTAGGGCACTGCATTCCACACACTCAGGCAAAGTCGCCATTTATTTGTGTAGTCGGATTCCTGTTTCTGTGCACGTACTGGGGTTTGGGTTTGTTTTTTTGTTTGTTTGTTTGTTTCTCAAAATGACTTAGTGAAATTTCCCTCTATTTCATTTCTATAATTTATGTAAAAAGATAGAAGTTGAATAAGTGAACAAATGCAGAGAATTTTCTGTCTCTGGTGTTGTTTGGTCCTGGGGGGACTTAATGGCTATTTTTCAATAACAGTTGTCTCTTTCCTTTTTTTCTCTCTCTTTTTTTTTTGCTGCCCAAGGCCTGAGCTACAATGTTTCCGTGGGACTCGGGAGTATGTTCCTTTTTGAAATATGGGCTTTGGGGCTAACACCAGCCATGCTGTGTATCATCCCTGCGTGTAAATAAGTAGCAATGCATTGTCTGTGTTCCTTTCTGACTGGAACAGCCCATGGGAACAGAGAGATCAATTAGTTATAAGCCAACACCAGAGGGTGGAGCCAGCTTCAGGGACCCACCTGGGTGGATTTTATGCCGCTGCCTGGTTGTTCTTGTCCCTGCCTCCTCATGGATACCAATGGGGGGACAGAGAAAGATCCCCAGCTGTGTGACGTGGTGGCATCTCCCTGGTGCACTGGGGAGGGTGCTGTGATATTTTCGTGGTATGCTGTCTTCCATCCCTGGTGACACAGGGCGGGGAGCCTCCTCCACTGAAGGCTTCACAGTCCCTCCCGGGCTCGCTGTGTTTCCTTTTGAACTACCGCCGCAGGGTGGAGAAAGGCAGGGGTTCTCCTCCCCCTCCCCCATTTCTTCCCTTCCGCATTCACTCCCCAGATCCCTGTGTTTGGCAGCTGGTGGTCCGAGCCCCATGTTCCAGAGATCACCAGCTCCGTCTTCTTGACAGTGCCTTGAAGGGGTTGGTGTCTTCTCCAGTAAGCCAGCCGTCCATGCGTTGACACCTCGCTGAGCAGAGACTTTGTGGATGTGGTGCTGTTCCAGGGTGCTGGTCACCCCGCCGTCCCCTCCGGGAGCCTGTAGTTAGGGAGCGAGAGGGATGGCTCAGACAGAGAGGACAAAGTGAACGTGGTTCCAAAGAAGTTGATGTGTGAGGGACCCACGGGAGGAGTCCCTGGTAGGCCAGGCGAGAGCAGGGTCACGGAGGGCCAGCACTGGGTGCCACTCCAGTGGCAGACGTGGCTGATGGGGCACCGGGCTCTGCCTGGCTGGCCCCAGATGCTGTCCGCAGCGGCCAGAGCTGCTGTGTGAGAGAACATCCTCCCCTCTCCGGACCTAGTCAGATCCCCTCATGTTACATAAGGAAACAGGAAGGACATTAGTTGACACCTAAGGCCACAGAGGTGGTGCTGAACCCAAGCATCAGCCTGTCGTGTCGGTGACAGCCCTTCAGAGAGCCTGCAGGCCGTGGAGAGCTTGCCCCTGGCTACCACGCCACGCACTGACTGCTGGACTTTGCACTGCGACTTTTCATCGACTGCCCTCTCCTTCCCCACTTGCTCTCTCAGTGACAAGTGGACAGCGGGAGGTGGGCATGTTCAATAAATGTCACAGCCTGCAGAGAGAAGTCATGGGTAGCAAAGCCTCTTCCACACTCTAGAGCATCTGCAATGGGTGGGAAAGGTGTGGGGCTATTGAGGGAGCCAGAGGGGGACCCCACTGACCGTGCCCCCAGCAAGAAATGGCCCTCCATCACCTCCCCAAGCTGCTGCCCTCCAGCTCCTCTCTCAGCCCTTGTCCCACCTCTGCAGAAGACTGGTGCACAGGTGCCTCTGAGGGTGGCTCCCGGATGTGTTCATTCTCCAAAAGACACGCTGAAAGCCAGGGACTCCCGCTAGTGCAGCGCCTTTGAGCTTTCCTCCTCCGTACTTCAGGCATCAGCCTGAGTAAGGAAACGTGTGGCTTGAGAATACTTGGTACAGGGGCTGGGGCTGGGGCTCAGAGGTAGAGCGCTGGCCTACCATGCGTGAGGCACTGGGTTCGATCCTCAGCACCACATAAAAATAAAATAAAGACAATGTGTCCACCTATAACTAAAAATAAGTATTAAAAAAAAAAAGAAAAGAAAATACTTGGTACATTTTGGAGCAGGGAAGGGCTTTTGTGCCAGAAGGCCTCAGTACAGCTTCCAGATGCTCAGACACAGCCGAGTGGAAGGGCTGTGTACACCAGTGGACTCCAGTTTGTGGACTTCCACCTCTAGACCTAAGGACCAGATGGAAGTACAAGGTGGCCGACCACCAGACTTGAGGCCAGCTTGGCCAACATGAATGGGATCTGGACTTGATATTTAGAAATAAGAGACACAGAGCCTTCTAAGGAAGGTATTTTAGTCCTGCAGACATTTAGAAGAATGATGGAAACTTGGTGTTTTTCCTTATCAGGAAATGATCTCTGGGTGAGAGTTCTTCCCCACCCCTTCTGGGATGGGGCCCGGATGAGGAGTGGCTTGTTCCTCTCTCTACGTGCTCTTTTTTTTGGGAGGGGGAGAGCTTTGATGTTGCTGGTACCAGTGTTTTGGAGGAGCTGTGTGGGATGGATAATGACCCTGTGACTGAGTGGGGTCAACGGGGACAGCCCACCTCAAGAATTCCTCTGGAGCAGAAGGCTGAGGCTGGCTCGGTCACTCAGCCACAGCTAGCTCCCACCTCTGCTTAGACTTCTGATTCTTTGGCCACCGAGACAGGGGACCTTGGAAGGCAGTGGCTCAGGGTGTGTTCCTTACAGAGCCCCCTGAAGGCTAGACAGTTTTCAGTCTCCTGAAACATGGGTCTGGACACGGAGTCTCACCTTGACCTGTGGACAGGTTGTGTGGCCTTGCTGGAGGGAAACAAGACATCCACCGCGAGACCCCTGCTACCCATTCATAGTGACCAGAGACTGTTCCCCGTTAATCCTCCCAGGAGCTCCCTGATGGCCCCTTTGCAGCATGCTGGGGTCCCTGATGGAGCGGTGACTCACTCTGAGGCCTCCTCACATCCCAACTGCAGATCAACAGCTGCCTTTAGGAAACCTCTCCAGACTAAGGTCCTGAAGATTTCTAGATTGTTTTTTTTCCACATGAGGGATGCAGAACATCAAGTTCAGCTCCTACCAGGTTCTACACTTCTGGGATGACTCTCAGATGGCGGCCAATCACCCATTCCATCCACATGGGGTGGCAGCAGCACACAGACCACCAGCCGCAGGATTCCCAGGGACACCTCAGCCGTTGATTCAGACGCTGTCAGACACCAACCAAGCACCCACCACGTGCCAGACTCTCTCGCGTGGTCTTGGAAATCAAGCTAATAGGACGTGGTCTAATGGAGAAAAGGAATCATGAACAAGTTCAGGGGAGCCGGGACACAAGGGTGGACTTGTCCAAGGGTCTCCAACGATAGTAGACTTTCATTAGCCAGGTGTAGTTCTGTGCTCTGCGAACCTGAACCTGGGTAAGAGCATAGAGCTTAGAGCCCCTGATCTGAGCCCAGAGACATTTAGTAGGTTGGCTTCACACAGCCTTAGCAAGGGTCCTGCTCAGAGTGAGACAGGTGAGACTCATTACGTGCAGGCAATGTGCCAAGATGTCCCCGAGGTTGGCACCATCCTGTCACTATTTATAGCAGAGGACATTGAGTCACCATCCAGGTTCTCACAGCCATTTTGCTGTGGGGCTGGAATGTGAACTCAAGTTGGAGAACAGGCTGAATTCGTGGGCCCTGAGGGTTCCGTTTGCAGTAGGAATCCCAAGGCCTGATGGGCCAAAGTTTGGCATTGCATCCTGGCTGGAAGGCTCTCTCACCTCCTGTCCACATGTCCCTGCTCATCACGCTCATGTTCAAAGCCACTCTTCCCGGCCGCTCACCTCTGAAGCTTGCCGTGTCCTCTAGAGTTGGACCGGCTCCTTTCCTCCTCCTCTTTGCTCCAAACTTTCCCTATCCATTAAGGGTTCCATCCTCACAGGTAAGGGCTTTGGCTGAATGGGACTGCAAAATCCACCTGGAAGCTCAGGTGGGATGAGGTGGAGGACTTGATACAACCCGCTAGGACAGAGTGATCAGTCCATCTAAATGACCAAGTGGAATTAAATCACAGTATGTGTGGCCGAACTAAGTGTTCCAGCAGGTGACATTTGCTGACCGTTTACTGAACACCCAAACGCTTTTCATTGATCAGTTCATTTCATCTTCACAACCATCCAAAGATGCCAGGGGTGGAGTGGGGGGCGGGGCAGTAATTCCTTCCTCATTTGACAGATGAGAGATGTGAGGCCCAGAGAGGTCAGGGGGTCCTTCTGATGTGGCACAAACCGTATGGTCTAGTTCCAACGCCTGCTCACCTCAGCCCTCTGCTACTGTTTTATGGTCATCGTCTCCCCCAGCCACTTGGTGTTGGTGCACCCAGGCTGCCTTTACTGGTGGCTTTTGTTGGCCTGGGGATCACCTAGGATTAAAGAGGATTCCTGACCCGAACAGCCAGGTAAGCACAGGGGAGTAAATGTGACCCAGTCCCACTGATGACATAGTATGTCTGCTTTCCCCTTCTCTGTGACAGGAGGCAAGGACACCCTACTGTTCAGCGACCCTGCTCTTCCCACCACACAGAGGTCAAGATCCCCCCTGCTGAAGTTTGTTGACCAGCCCACAGAGACCAGAGTGAACCCCAAGGATGGTAAGCACAGCATGGTTTCTCTGCCTTTGCCTGACCCGTGTCTACCTCAGTGGACGCCAGTCCCTTTCCCTGTGGCAGCTCTGTGGACAATCACGACTTTCCTCACATTTACCTGGGTTCATCTTGTTGGGAGATCCCTGCCCTCTGGGCAAGGTGGCATTGCGATTTAGAGTGGCCTCGGGAGTTGACCAACTTGAGGTCACATTCCAGCCCCACAGCAAAATGGCTGTGAGAACTTGGATTGTGACTCAATTTCCTCTGCTATAAAGAGTGACAGGATGGTGCCAACCTCGGGGACATCTTGGCACTTTGCCTGCGCGTAGCAAGTGATCTGGGAACTTGGAGTGGAGAGAACGTCTCCTCCGTCAGGCACACAGTTCTGGAGGCTGGGGGTTGGAAGTAGATCAAAGACCCACAAGAGGACCAGATAAGGCCACAGATATGGGCGCCAGGTCTCTTCCTATGTGGAGTCTTGTCTCCCCAAGAAAACTTTCCTTCACATTTTTAGAAGTTTTCCTCCACCCCTCAGTGTGGTAGCCAGCTTCTAAGATGGCGCCACGGGATCCCTACCCCTGGGCATTCCCCCTGGTATAGTCCCCTCTCTCACTGTACTGGGGCTGGTTGTCAACCGAGTGCTGTGGAAGTGGTGGGATGTGAATTTTGAGGTTGGGTCATAGAAGACATGAGGCTTGTGCCTTGCTCTCTCTGTCTTGGATCTTTCACTCTGGAGGAAGCTGGCTGCCAGGTCAGGCGGCTCCTCAAGCCGCCCCACATGGGCTTCACAGGGTGTGGAACTGAGGCTTGCGGCCAGCCTCCATGTGAGTGTGCCATCTGGGAATCAGGTTCCCCAGCTCCAGTCAAGCCTTCAGATGTTATAGTCCTGGTCAACACTTTAATGGAACCTCACAAGTGACCACTAGTCAGAACCATCACACTAAACTGTTCCCAGACTCCTGGGTCTTAAGCTGGTAGGTTCTGGAATGATTGGTTACACAGCAGTAGATAACTGATATTCCCAAAATGCGACTATCAAGGTTCTTTCCTTAAACATCTGCATTTCTTCTCCATCTTCTCTTGCTCAGAGTCATACCTTCAATCATCAACTCCATAAGAATATTCTCAAAGCGCCCCCCCCCTTACTGGTTTCCTCCTGCAGTTACAACTCCATATTTCCCAAGGCCTGGCTTTCCCACTGAATCTCTCTTCCTGCTTCCTCCTCCTTTTCCTCACCCTCTCAACTACTCAGACTTAACATGGTAGAGTCCGCCTCCTTCCTTCTCGGCCTTGTCTGTCACAGAACTCCCTCTGTAATGTCCTGCCCCTGGGTCCCTCCCACCGCTGGCTTGGTTCAGGTCCACTGGCCTCGTTGGCAACCCCCTCCTGGATTTTCTGCCTCCCACAGCAGAATAAAGCTGCCAGCTGGTTTTCCATCGTGTCTGTAAAACCCTGCGCGGTGCTCAACTGTCTTCTGCCTAAAATCTCAGCTCTGCACCTGGCCTCGCCCACCTTTCTCACCTTATGGTCACCTGAACTTTTATCCAGTGAACTAACAAGTTAGCTATGATTGGGCACAACTTGAAGAATCAACAGTGTATTACTTACCAGGAGTCTTTGGGTCAGATAGGTGGTTCTGCTCCTCTGAGCTGGGTCAGAACCTGTTCAAAACACTCATGTAGGGGGGTAAAGTAGAAGCCAGGCCGTTTCCGGGATTTCAACTAAAAGGCTCCCCAAGTACTTGTGGGGGAGTTCCTAGAGAAAACCCCTAATTCTGGTAGGTGCCACACTGACAGAGAGCAAGGGTGGCACTTTCCAATCTGTAGCACGTGGCTGTTTACAAGGGTAGCCCGTCACACACTCCACCTCGTGTCTTGGCTGGTGGTCATCCCATCTCGGCAGCCAGTGCAGAACGTCCCGTCTGCTCTGGGTGTGCTGAGCCCGGGGGCTGGCCTGGGGCTGGGCCTGCTGCACTGAACTGGAGCATGAACCTGGCTTGATTTTCACAAGGGCAGCCTTAAGTAATGGACTGATTCAAAATGATAGTTTCCTGAGTGCCATCATCAGCTCTCATTGTTCCCACCCCGTCCTCACCAGCACTGGGGGAGGCAAGGAGGCATTTTGGAGTGGCTGTCAGCATCTGGGATGGCCACACCGCTGCTGCAGCCCTGATTAATTCCAACCCAAAGCAGCGCCCACTCAGGAGCACAAAGCCCAGCAGAGACCAGTGAACAAAGGCAGACAAATGTCCCCTCTGGGCCAAAGAGGCAGAACGCATTTAGGGGTCTAGCAATCATTTCTATAAAGCAACACGGGTGTTTTTCATCTTTAAAGAAGAAAAAGCACTTTTCTTTCCACACTATTTGTGTCATGAGGCATCTCTGTCAGTCAACTGCCTTATCATTATTGAGATGTGTATTGTTATGAATAAGTATTAATGATATTAATTCTGTTTGCTAAAACGGCACAGAAAATTGCTATTATTTGCAATAATATTTTCCTACTCTTGGCTGCTTCAGAAATCTTTTATGCAAATGGCAATGCTGTTCTGGAAGGAAGAATACAACCCCACAGCTTAAGAGTTAATGTTCCAGAATCCCAGAGTTAAAGGGGGATTTTGCCACCACAGCAAGTAACCAGAAGTCTCAGGGACAGAGCAACAGCCATGACATTTTCAGGAACTTTTCACTTGTCCTGATGATGACTTGAGTACAGAACACTTTTGGGATATATTTTAGGTAAATGAAAGAGGGGACTGTGTTGGTGAATCCCACTGTTGACCCATAATCCAATGCCAGGGCCTGGCCCCTTTATCTTTATCATCCTGATTCTGGAAACATAGCCTTTCTCAGAAAAAAATAAATAGGACCAAACAAGAACTGCAGCCTGTGTTTGTGCATGCCCTTACTGCGGCTGTTTTAACCTAGAACGAGAATGGTGACAGTCATGTCCCCTCTACCGCACCCATTCCCCTGCAGAAAGGTTAAAAATGTCTCTCTGGTCATCTCAGAGGTTTGCCATTTTTAAAAAAGATTCATATATTTGGACATGAGCAGAATGTCATCTAAAGAAATGACAGGAGGCAAAATACGAGTGACCAAAAGGCCCCGGGTCTTTTAGACTTCGTTCCCTGCGAGGTGAATGAGACAGAGAAGATCAACCTGAATCATGGTAAGAACACTCTGCAAATGGCGCAGGGCTAGGGTGTTAGGAGTGAGGTTAATTAATTTTTCAGGGGCAGCAGAATATAGTGTTAAGTGTCCTGGAAGAAGTAATTTCATAAGAGTAATTTCCAGAAGAGTTTATTCATCTCACATTGGTGAAAAATTTAGCTGCAGAAGGCACCATCATTTACTCCTTCTGAATCAAGCTCCCCCACTCCGCTGCAGACTTGCTCCTTTGACTCCCTGTTTCTCATGTCCCCTCTGCAACCACCATAAAAATTTCCATTTGTTAGTATGAAATGTATATGATTGCTCCTTGAGCTACCTTAGGTGTAGCTAAATGTTTGTGTGAATTAGAATAAATCTCTTTTTTTTCCCCAGAAAGTACCATTTTAAGAACTTCTAGGGTAGCAATCTGAATTGAATACAACTTGCAATGAAGAATATAAATTTAAGGATTAATTTTCATATGTTAATGCATGGCATTTAAAAATGTGTGCTAATATATTCACTTATTCATGCATTCATGTACCAGCCCATATATCCAAACTATTTAATAAACTATTTATTGAGTCCCCACAGTAGAACACGGATAAAACTCAAGAATTTTAATCAGGCTAGAATTTATACTTAAGGTATTTTGAGGTAGCAGATTGGTGGGAGGAATGTGGCCTTACGGGAAGTCAGGCACTGCGAATGTGACCTGTGGCAGGGTGAACCAGATCGGCTTCATGTGGGAGGTGGCATTGGGCCTGACCCTTGAGGTGTATCATTGGGATATAAAAAGGAATGACAGTCCTGGAAGAATCGACCACCGTGGCAAAGGCAGGGGACTGGGTGGTGCACCAGAAAGGGCTGGCCTTTGCAGGAGGGTGGGGTTAGGGTGCAGGAGTTAAGGGAGATGCACGTGGGGTCCTGGAAGCCTGAGTGCTGGTTACCAGCTTGGGCTTTGTTCCCAAGCACTGGCAGCCTTGGAAGGGTTTGCTCTCTGGGGGAAGCCGGGGTGAGGTTTGCACTTCAAGCTCACAGTGCTCCTCACACTGTGGTGTGTACCCACATGGCCTGGGATCTTACTAAAATACAGCCGCAGAACCAGTAGATGTGGGGAGGCGGTATCTGAGATCTTGTATGTCTGCCAAACTCCCAGTGCTGGTCTGCAGACCCCACTTCGAGTCGCAAAGCTTTTAGGGATGGCTCCTCCCCCAAGAGGGTGAATTGGAGCAGGAGGAAGTGAGGCCAAGGAACTGATTAGGAACTAACATGTGTTGTGATCCTAGCTGAACAGGTCTGAATAGGTATTTTTATTTTCAATCCAGGTTTGCTTAATTCACTAATTTATATATTCATGTATTTCATTTAAGCCTAAGAAATGATCTCATTTTCAGGTACAGTATTTATGTAGAAGAGGAATGCTTAATTCAGACTTTGTAAAGTATTAAGTAGATTTGATTGAAAGCGTCCCTGAGATTTTTCTGTAGTCATCAAAAAGTCTAAAGAGCTGAGTGTGATGGCATGCATCTGTAATCTCAGCTACTGTGGAGGCTGAGGCAGGAAGATTGCAAGTTCAAGGTCAGCCTGGGCAACTTAGAAAGACCCCATCTCAAAATTAAAAAGACTGGGGGTATAACTCAGTGGTAGAGCACCCCTGGGTTCAACCCCTAGTAAAACACACACACACACACACACACACACACACACACACACACAGCTCAAAGGAACAAAATGGCTTTTTTAAGTGTGAAAAGAAAATTTGTACCAGGAGAATTAGAGGGAAGACCTGCCTTGCTCAGGTGAAACCCGCCATCTCCTCCCTAATGATTTCATTTTTTAAAAAATCACCTA